GCCCAAGGACTGGGATGGGAACGTGGGATTGCCAGACTCAAAACCTGCAAGACTCTCCCCTGATGGCCCTCTTCACTTAGCCAGTCCCTTCTGACCATGGCTCTCTAGGACTAAGTGTCTTGAGGGCTGGGGGTGTGCAGGTCCCAGGGCTTCTGAGCAACCCCAGTTTTGTACCTCCCAAGGCTGGAGAGAGTGGAATGCAGGAAATACGGTCTGTAGTTTCTCTGGTGTCACTTGCTCCCTCTGGGCCACAGTTTTTCTCAGCTGCAAGTCAGCTTCCCTGCTGGAACCAGGCTTTGAGGGGTTTGCCGCTCAGCACGGCTCCTTGACTGAGCAACCAAGAGCTACCCCTCTTCAGTTCTGGTTTGCAGGGGGAGCTCCCACATGTCCAGATGAAGTGACTGACTTGCCCAGGGCCCAATGGCTGTGCGATCCAGTCACAGGCCTGCCCCCCAAGTGGTCTCCAGTGACTCACCGCTACCCCCACCATCCCTCTGAAGCCTCTTAGAATTACACCTCACAGATGTGGCGGCTGCCACAGTGGGCAGGAACAATACCCTGTGTAATTTACCCCTCTTGGCACAGCCCCCTGCCTCCTGGGGGCTGTGGAAAGAGCATGGCCAGGAGCCAGGCGGGATGAGGACACCTGCGGTCACCCTCCACTCTGCCCTCTGGACCAGCCACCCAGCCTGCCTGTTTTGTCACCTGCAGTACCACAGCCCCACCAGGGTTCCCTGCCCTGCCAGCAGGGCGCCGCTGACAGTCTTCCTGCCCGAGAGCCTGCCACCAGCCTGGGAAACCTTTAAAGTTCCCCTCTTTATTTTGAAGATGAAATGTTATCTCTTCTCAGCCTTTTGGCTAAGATCAAGGGTAAAGATGAAATGATATGCAGGGTTTACACTCAACTGCCAGGTCTGTCTCGGGTCTGTCTCGTGGCCATCATGCCCCGCCTACTGCCCGCTGTCTCAGAGGGAGGCCTTTGGTCCTAAAGCCACTTAACAGCCCTGAGCCTGAGGGAGAATGGGCAGTGTCTGGGCAGTGTGAACCCCTCCTCAGTGTGCACCCAGCCCCCAGCCGTGAGTGCACCTGGGCCCTTGGGCATGCTGAGCCTGGCCAGAGGGAAGAGGCAGTCAACCCAAGAGCATAATTCTGTTGTCACTGCCCCTCCACACATTCACTGTCCAAGATAACACCTCTGAGGACTCACAAAGCCAAATCAGCTTCCAAACTTGGCTGTAGAGAAGTTCTCGTTTCCTCAGATGCCACACTTGAGTGGTTCTTAATGGCTAAGAGTACAGGAAAATCCGGTTTTGAATCCCTGCTCTGCTGCTTGCTTTGCTGTCTGATTCAGGCAGGTTGCTTAATCTCCTGGGCCCCAGTCCTCTACTTTGCACAGCACAGGAGTAAGGCCAGCTTATAATTTGGGGTGAAGAGTGAGCATGCGTTGAATGTCTGCTGCAGCGCCCAGACCTCCACACAGCTGCTCAGTACAGGTCGTCTGGATCCTGCTGCCGCCGCCAGTTTGACCCTTGCCGCCTCCTTCGACGCCTTTCTCACCATCCCAGCCCTTCCCTCACTCTGTTCACTCACTCACTTGCTCGTTCCTTCACACGTGTCATGAGTCCTCTTAGGTCTGATGGAGTTCCCAAGTTCTTCCTTGACTTTCGCAACCCTGACACTCAGCTGGGGGGACTTTTGTAAAAGTCCCTTATTTGGGGTTTGTCTGATTTTTCTAATGACTAGATTTCGGTTATGCATCTTTGGCAGAAATGTCACCTAAGTGGTGCCTGGATTCTCTTCATTGCATCCTATCAGGCAACACCCAGTTGTAACTTGTCCCATTACTAATAATGTTTGCTGTGATCACGTGACTCAGGAGGGGGTCTGCCAGCCTTCTTTACAATGAAGTTACTCATTTTCCCTTTGTAATTAATAAGTATTTTATGGAAAGTAATACCCTATTTCTCATCAAACATTCCATTTATTTATTCATACCTGTATGTACTTTGGCTTCCTATTTAATTCAGTGGAATATAATCTTTAAAAAAAAATTTTTTTTTTAATTTAAGAGTGTAATTGGGGGAGGGGCAGAGAGAGAGGGAGACACAGAATCCAAAGCAGACTCCAGGCTCTGAGCTGTCAGCACAGAGCCCAACACAGGGCTAGAACTCATGAACAGTGAGATCGTGACTTGAGCCAAAGTCGGCCACTTAACCAACTGGGCCACCCAGATGACCCAATATAATCTGTTATTATCACTATTTTATTTTTTTACTCTATTTTGTATGTTAGAGAGAGTGTGTGCACATGCAAGCAGGGAAGAGGGACAGAAGGAGACAGAGAGAATCTTAAACAGGCTCCATGTTTAGCATAGAGCCTGATGCAGGGCTTGATCTCACGACTCCAGGATCATGACATGAGCCAAAATCTGAATGGGACACTCAACTGACTAAGCCACTCAGGCACCCTGATTATCACTATTTTGATACATGGGTGGTCCTAGCTTTAGTCTGTGGTAGGTTGCCAATTCTCCTCATTTGTCTGAGACTGAGGATCTTCCCATGATGGGGGATTTTCAGTGCTAAAACTGGCAAGGCCTTGGGCAGACCCTGACAAATCGCTCACCCAACCAGTGGGAGCTCTTCATCTGGCTCCCGTGTCTGCTGGGCGAGGTCCCTATCATTCTGTGAGTATGACCTTACCTTCTGGCACAATAAGATGTTCCAGGCCAATCTTATCTGACCCAGCCCCAGGATCCTGCATTTCTCTAGGAAGCCCTGGACCCAGGGCCTTTTGAGTATTAGCTACACCACATCAGGGGAACTGGAGCAGAAGGAACTCACCTTGTCTGCACACCACACTCTTGTCCGCTTCTGTGCTGTTCCCTCACTGCTTTCTCTTCCAGGGCCATTGGCAAACACCTGCCTTTCAGACTGAGCTCCTCTGTGAAGCCTGATGCCTGCCTCCACTCTGCAGAGCTGACCACCTCCTTTGGGCCCTTACCAGGCAGTTTAGGGCACCTCTCCATTTTCAAGTTGGTCTCCTCCCTTAACTAGAAGCCTCTCAAGGACAGGCCTCAGATTCAACTCTGATTCTTCTGTGCTCTGCACAGGGCTGGAATTGGGGCTGTTAGCTAAATGACTGGATCCAGAGTCATAACCTTCCTCATGGATCAGAAAAGCAGAGAAGGAAGGTGATTTGTTCAGGCTCACACACTGAGTCTTTGCAGGCTAGAATCTGTCCTCAAACTTTGGTTTTGTCTTATCTTCTCTTTTTACAGTTTTATACCTTTGTTTGAAAATCAGTAATTACGTCTCATCCACATTAACTGTCTGTAGATTTTTGAAAGCAATGATAGGTATGCAGGTAACCAATGCATGGAGCTTGTTTGAATCTTTATCCTTATTATGTTTCCTGGACAACTGCACACAGATATGGTATGGAACATTCCTTATTCCTTTGGCCCAAACAGCTTTGTTGAGCTTGGTGTGGTGAGCTTCTGGAGTTCCCATCTCCATGGCAAATTTCCGTATCTCTTTGGGTGCCCAAGGGGCACACTTCTTGAAACCCACTCCTTAGACGCTTATGACTGTTGATGGTATGTTCTCTGGCCACTACCTCATTGATGGCAAACAGCCCTTCATCTCATCATGCTTCTTTATGGGAGTCATTCTGGTCCTGGTTGGAAAGTGATATATTTGAGACAACTGGAGAAATGTGAATATGCTCTGAGTATTAGATGTGCTGAAAATTTACTGAAACAAAATGGCAGAGAATGCTGCCTGAAGAAGTTCGCAAAATGGAATGCTCAGTATAATCTCATTGGGGGGAAATATGCACAGAAAAGGCTTGGGAAGAATAATCACTGAAGTGTTAACAGTGGCAATCTCTAAATGATGAGAATATGATGGTTTTCTTTTTGCTGTCTGTATTTCTAATTTTCTAAAATGTATGGTACTGTTTCTACAATAATGGAAAGATTTAAGTAGAAAGATCCCTCAGAGATACTGAGAGGTGCACTCACTACATGCCAGGTACTACCACCCCCACCCCCACCCCCACCCTTCTTTCTGCAGCCACCAGTGGAGGTGGTACCTTTATTTCTGCAAGGTACTATCCTAAGTGCTTTATACACATTACCCATTTTGTTCTCACGGAAATGGCTCTGAAGAATTAGCCCCATTTTAGATTTAAGAAAACTGAAGTTCCTTTTTTACATGTTTCCCATGGCACCGTCTGAATGCCCAGTTCTGGGAGACCTTGTTAAACTACACAAGAAAACGTGTCCAGTTGCTGATGAGTTGCATTAACTGATGTCCAGTTGAGCCTGGGGTTTGAGCTTTTGGGTGAAAACAATCACCAAATAAGGACATGAACTAAGCTTCATCTTGCTGAATGCAAACCTAGCAAAACCTAGTTCTGTTTTTACTTGCTTCCCAGACGTATGATCTGGGTTAAATCCCAGCTCTGCTGCTGACTAGCTGGGTGACCTCAGTCAAGTTACTTAACCTCTCTCAGCCTCAAGTTCCTCCTTGGATTTCTTGTCTGACAGAGTTGTTTTGAGGGTTAAATAAAGAAAGATATTCTTGGCTCTTTTCTTCCCTAGATGGAAAGCTCTTTGAGGACAGGGCTAAAAACTGTAAGAAATCCAAAGATATTTGTTGGATGAAGAAATCCACCCATGAAGTTCAGGGGTCTGGAAGGGTATAGATATAGAGATTTGGTATATGGGAGTCCAGAAGGTCTGGCCTGATCATTCAAGAAGGCTTCCTGGAGAAGGAGACTGGGATGAAAAGGAGGTTTGGTGGGAGCGGAGATGGGGGAGATGGTGTCTGGATACAGGGTCTGTCTGTCCTGGCAAAGGTGGCTTCTGGTAGGGCTGTACAGGTAAGCTGTTCTTCCCTGTTCTCCTTCTCCCCTTCTTGCCTGTCTGTCCTTTGGTCTCCTGGCCAGGGCTTTTAGCCCTGTGTGACCCTGACAACCCATGTGTCTGTCTGCAGTGCCGGATGGAGTGCCGCGATGTGCCAGCTGAGACACTCTATGATGTCCTACACGACATTGAATACCGAAAGAAGTGGGACAGCAACGTCATTGAGACTTTCGACATTGCCCGCTTAACAGTCAACGCTGACGTGGGCTATTACTCTTGTGAGCAGGCACAACGACAGTGGTCCTAGCCTCTCTGCTTCCACCCAGGCCTCCAGCCCAGCTTCTTTCTCCCACCTTTCCTCCTTGTTGTTTTTCTTTAAATTTTTTTTTAACATTTATTTATTTTTGAGAGACAGAGAGAGACAGAGCATGAGTGGGGGAGGAGCAGAGAGAGAGAGAGAGACACAGAATCTGAAGCTGGCTCCAGGCTCTGAGCTGTCAGCCCAGAGCCTGATGTGGGGCTCGAACTCATGGACCACGAGATCATGACCTGAGCCAAAGTCGGAGGCTTAACCGACTGAGCCACCCAGGCACCCCCCACCTTTCCTCCTTGTGATCACTCCCATGGCCAGGCTGCTCAGAGACCTGAGTGCTCAGATGTAGGGCTGCCCTCCCTGACATTTCTGTCCACTCTGAGACCCTTGTGCACACACACATACACTCACAAAGACATATGCACTCCCATGTTCACATATACACACTCCACACACATGTACATGGAGGCATGTACATACCCCACGGCCACATGCCACATACTCACAGTCACACATTTTCAGATACATACACTCACAATAATATATTCACATTCACATATATGAACAGGTCAGGCCAGCAAGGTAAGGGCTGTGTGAGGCTGTGAGCAGGAATGGCTGGTGACACGAGGGGAGAGGGTTCTGTCTCTTTCCTAGTGTCAGCTCTGGGACTGTGGTCTGGTGGGTGGGTGGGGGGTGTACCTATTTGGATCAGGGGGAACTGGCAATTAACTAGGCATCCCTGTGTCCCTGGCTTCTGCTATGCCTTCCCTTGCAGGCAGGCAGGACAATGGTCTTGCTGAACTATCCCTTGCCCTCCACAGGGAGGTGTCCAAAGCCCCTGAAGAACCGTGATGTCATCACCCTCCGCTCCTGGCTCCCCATGGGCACTGATTACATCATTATGAACTACTCAGTCAAACATCCTGTGAGTCTGCCTGCCTTCCCTGCTGGGTGGGCAGGGGAAGGTCCCAGGTTCAGCTGGGCCAGCAAGCCTGGCCCAGGAAGAGATCTCTGGCTACTACGATGACTTTCATGTGACTTCAGCCTTGGCATGAAGCTCTCTGGCCCCCAGTTTCCTTACTTATATAGTGAGAATAATGGCTCTTATCTCCCTGCTCAGCTCTCAGCAGATGAGAAGAGGGCCACGTGGGCCATCAGTGTGGGCAAGTGGGATGGGCTGGCTGGGAAAGGGGGTGCAAGTGGTAAGAGGCCCTGAAGCTGGGCCGCCTTAATCTCTATGGCAGGCAAGACAGGGAGGTACAGCTGGCCTGGGCAAAGATGAGTGCATGTGTGAGTGCCCATGTATGTGCTCATGACCCCTGACCCCAGACTGAGGGCTTTCCTGAGGGGAACAGGGAAGCCTTGAGAGGCAACAGTGACCTAGACTGAGTCCTCCCTTTCTCCTTACCCCAACATCAAGCCTGGTCTGGAGTGAATGCCAGGGGATGTGAACTAACTACCTGTGTGTGTGTGTGTGTGTGTGTGTGTGTGTGTGTGTGTGTGTACTCACAAAGACACTTCTTTTGCCCCAACCCTGAGTCTCATCTCCCTTTGCCTTCCATCCCCAGAAATACCCGCCTCGGAAAGACTTGGTCCGAGCTGTGTCCATCCAGACGGGCTACCTCATCCAGAGCACGGGGCCCAAGAGCTGCGTCATCACCTACCTGGCCCAGGTGGACCCCAAAGGTGAGGGCTTGGCCCTAGCAGCTTATCACAGGATCCTTTCCTATACCACAGGAGATGTGGTCTGATCTACTAGGGATCAAAAAGAGCCTTTGTTAGGAGCTGTTTTGTATTTTAGGGCATCTCTATCCAAAATATCATTTGAACCAACGTTTGAGACTTTATAATGGTTTGAAAAGCAAAGGCCAAGGTGATAGCCACTGCTCTGTGACAAAGCTTGGAGCCCTTCTCCTGGGCTCCCACACCCCATGCTCTGATGGGCTTCCTGCTTACTGGCTGCTTTCACTCCATCTGTCTTGCTGGTTCCCATCCTCTGCCCATCCCAGAGGGCTGAGTTTTCCAGGCTTTAGTCCTCCTCCCTTTAGGAAGGCTCAGCTACTCCCAAGGCTTCTGTGGCCAGCTGACACATCTCTCTCTGCTGGGATCCAGATCCCTGTGGCCATTGGCCATGTCCCTCATCCCTCAGGATGTCTTCTGGGACCTGAGACTTACGGTGTACAAAGCTGAACTATGAACTATCTCCCCTCCTAATTTCCCCCTTCTCCTTAGCCTCTACCCCCTAGTCATCCATACCAAGAAACTGGCGGTTGACTAGGGTGCCCTCTTCTCACTCCCAGGTCTGGCCACCAATTCTTATTGATTCTACCTTCTAAATAGCTCCCGAATCTGTCATTTCTCTCTGTAGTCAGCCTCCTTCTCTGTCCGTACGGCTACACAGGGATTTTTCCCAAACATGTACTTCCTCATGACTCTCTTCAATTAAAATTCTCCTGTGACTTTCTGTTGCCCTCAGAGTGAAGTCTAAGCCCCCTCCCCAGGCTTCCCAGTCCTTCCTCACACCTTACACAGTCCTGCTTCCCTGTCTAGGCAGCTTTCCTCCTTATCCTAGAAATACCTCTCCTCCCTATTCATGCCCCCAGGGCTGCCTCACATGTCACCTCCTCTGTCCCTGATGCCCAGAGTTACCACTGGCTCCATGCTCGCGGGCCCATTCCCCTCCAGCAGAGCACTTGGCACATTGTTGTGTCCCAGGCAGTGAGTCGCTCTTTGGGTCCCTGGGGCTGGCCCAGAGTAGGGATCATGGAGTGGATGCAGAGTGTGAGTGAATGGGTGAATGTCTAGGGGATGGGTAAGCCCTGAACATCTTTGCCCGGGTGTGCCCCAACCCCACCAAGCACCCAGTGATGTAGGCCCAGGGCTCCCTAGAACCTCACTCACTGACTGTCTGTGTTGGGTGTCAGAGGCAAGAGCAGACACTTGGGAATGAGAAGGAGTGGATAGTTGGGCTGTGGATTCCAGGTGAGGCCAGCATGGGGAGCTCAGCCAAGAGGCCTATGTAGCAGCTAGGCTGCCTGGGTTAGGGGACTTGGAAGGACAGGTAGAAAGAGGGTGGAACATCAGGGCCATTCACAGGTTGGGTTTGGGAAGGGATATCAGTAGAGGGGAGGTGGCAGGCAGGAGTTTGGTGGGTTAGGATTTCAACACACTTGTAGCCTGTGGTCACTAAGGATGCTGTGGTTTTCTTCCATGCTCTGGGGCTCAGTAAAGGGACAGTAGGGGTATAGCAGGACGGCTTGGGGGGGGGGGACACGACAGAATTGAGCCTAGGGACCTTGGTCTGAGATGGAAAGAGAGAGTAAGGATGGTGAAGTCTTATAGAACTTGCCTCACAGCCTCCTCCCCTCCCATGGAGAAGAGAGTAGCCTCCTTGGAAGCCCCAGGCTGGAAGGAGTGGGTTGGTATGTATGTTTGGAGAGGGCTGGGTCCCTGAGGCTGCTTCTTCCCTTCTCTCCTCATCACCCTTCCCTGCTCTCATAGGGTCCTTACCCAAGTGGGTAGTGAATAAATCTTCTCAGTTCCTGGCTCCCAAGGTGAGTGGCCTTGGGACTTTGGGGTATGTAAGCAGGGGGAGAGGGTTCTGGCTGAGGGGGTGGGTCTGGGATGGAGACTGGGAGTCAGGGGGCGGAGTCAGGGCCAAGGAGCGGAGTTATGAAATGGGCAGGAGTCAGGGTCCCGGGAGCTGGAGACTGAGCCGCTGGAGCGCGCAGGCCGCGACGTGGCGAAGACTCAGTCTCACGCCGTGTCCACCCCTGACGCGGCTGTGCGGCGGCCCCTCCAGGCCATGAAGAAGATGTACAAGGCGTGCGTCAAGTATCCTGAGTGGAAGCAGAAGCATCAGCCTCACTTTAAGCCGTGGCTACATCCGGAGCAGAGCCCGTTGCCGAGCCTGGCGCTGTCGGAGCTCTCCGTGCAGCACGCGGACTCGCTGGAGAACATCGATGAGAGCGCGGTGACAGAGAGTCGGGAGGAGCGCTTGGGCGGTGCAGGCGGCGAGGGCAGCGATGACGACACCTCGCTCACCTGAGCGTGGCACCACCACAGGGACCTAGACAAGATGGAGTGGGGCCAGGGGTGGCAGATCCTCCCGCGCTTTCTGCCCTCCCCCACCCCCTGCGCCTCAGAGGGACGCTGGGCTAGGGCCCAGGCTGGCTCTGCGGCCTGGCTGGACACAGCCCCAATAAACGATCCCACAGCCTCAGCTGGCTTGTTGCTGTGCCTGTTTCCCACCTGCCAGGGCACGACCACTGACCACTGTAGCCTTTAATCTTTTGTTCTAGAGTCCATTTTGTTAATTTTATTATTGATCCTGTGGCCTTTGCCCCTTTAGGCATCCCCTCATTTCCCCATGTGTAGATGGGGTATGTGTCAGGTTATCACCCCTTCCTCCTGTCCATGGTGTGTTCTGTTCTGTGTCTATTCCTTAGTTAACTCATCCATTCACCTGTCCTTGTTACATGTTCATTCTGCCATTTGCTCCTGGCTGTTTGGCTACCATTCACTGGTCTCTAAGAGAAGAAGTAGGTCTGGCCAGAAGCCCTGGGTCAGGGTTCAGAGGGTGAGGTTCTACTGTGTGACCTTCAGCCTGAGGCCCCTTTAGTACAACCTGCGTTGGTAGAGGTTCTGACACTCTCCAGCCATCACATAAGGAAGGGAGAGAGATTCCTGGGTCTCAGACCACAGGGCTGTGGGCCTCAGAGTGAAGGTTGGAAGGTTGGGGGTTGAAGGTGAGGGTCATCAGACTCCATTGCACTGGAGGGACTAGGTGCTGTGATTTGAGCCTTCCCTGGCGTGCTTTGAAGACCTCAGCCCTGCGTTAACAGAAAAGGTGGGGCTCCCGGGGCTTTGCCAGTGGTCAGATGCCAGTCCCTGGTACTGTGTTCTGTCTGACTGCTTGGAACTCTAGGCTTTGATTTCTAGAGGGATGCCTGCACCTCACCTGTTCTCTGTGGCCTCCAGGAACAGAGAGACATCCTGTCTGAGGATGCCTAAGGGACATCCCTGCTTTCAGGTCGGGAGGAAGGCTCTATGCTCTGCCCCTCTCCAGTGTTCTTACACCCCATATGAATTTGGGACTGGGAAGTTTGCTCCAAGGTTTGGCCCTGTCCTCTCCTCCTGAGAAATGACTTGCCTTAGCCTTGTCAGGAAGACACAGCCTACTTGGCATCAATTCTTTTCTAGGGGAACAGGGTGAGTGTTCAGGGGAGGGTTGGCAAGAGATTCTATAACTCACTAAGACTTGGGTTCCAATCCCAGGCTTGCCCAATACTGGCTTTGTAACTTTAAACAAGTCCTGGAACTTTTCGAAGCTTAATCTTCTAATCCCTAACCTGAGTGATTTTTTGCCTTCAAGGAGAGGTATGAGGATTTAGGTAAAAGCACTGGGCCCAGCATGTAGTAGGTGCTCAAATTAATGGCTTCTAATTTCAGAGTCAACCCCCATGTCCCATCTTGTTGAGAGCTGTTTTTCCAAATATCTCCATTGGGCATTTGGAGAAATAGAAAAGTTAAGAAGTTAAGGTCTTTGGCTTGGCTGGCCCCAGAGGTGACAGGGACCCAGGACCCAGGAATTACTGCCAAATCCAGGGCCCTCATCTGTGTATGTGCTGGCAGGATAGGCAGAAATCTCCCAATATCCCTTGGCCAGTCTTGCCAGGACCTCAGGCTGTAGGCAGCCTTCTGCCAAGGGATCCTTGAGCTCTCTGACTGGGTAGGACTCTTCTGCACCACCCTACCCCATGGGGATGTGGGCCCAGGGAGGGAAGTGGGTTATCCTCAGAGAATGAGGTGGGAAAGGACTCCCTGGAGGAGGAGGTCGGGGACATAGGTCGTTCTGCCTCCAAATGTCCCTTTCCACCCTGGGGGTCTGGTCCCCTGGGGCGGGACTGGGGTGGGAGTGAGCGGTGGGAGTGAGGGTGTAGAATCTCCAGGAGAAGGGTGGCAAGAGTCAGGGAGTCTCAGGAAGAAATGGAGACTCAGCGGGCAGCGGTGGTGGAAGTAGAACTGAGCCTCAAGAGACAGAGAACAGACCTCCAAGCAGCGAGAGGGCCTGGGGAAACAGTCTGACCCGTCCGCTAGGCGGGCCAGAACAGCGGACTTAAAAGATCCCTACTAGGCGGGGCCGAGGAGGGGGCGGGTCCCTGTCCCTTCCCCGCCCTCCGCTCCCTGGGGCATCACGTGGGGCGGGCGGAAGCGCCCGGCAGGGTGGGCGCGCCCCGCCTGCGGCCGAGAGTTTACGGCGGCTTGAATCAGTGGCGGCACTGGGACCCCGGTCCCCGGGTCCGCACGGGGAATCTTCGCCCAGAACAGGTAGGTGTGACTGCTGGGGCCTCTCCGTCCGCCGCTGTTTCCGCAGGTATTGTCCGGAGTTTCCCCATTTCGCAGAAGGGAACGCCGAGGCCGCACGCCGACTGTGCGCTCGGCTCTACTTCCGCGGGCGTTTCTTTTGTAAGTTGTCGTTAGTGTCTAGTCATTGGGGTGAGGGTCGCCTCCTGAGAATGTGTAGTCAGGCCAGAGATGGCAGGGAGGAGGACGAACCGGCAGGACAGGGGGCTTCCAGCTCTTAGTCCTTTGGTATGAAGGCTCCTAGGAGCCGGAGCCAGCCAGAACCCCCGGCGCCTTGCTTTTCTTACCTGTGAAATGAAGGCTTCAGTGGCTCTCACCGCGGAGACCCTTACAGCCCTGAGCATTCGTCTGACCCTATGCCCTGTACCTGGGCCTCCAGTGACCTTGGCAGACAACTTCCGGTCTCTGCAACTCAATTCCCCACCAGTAAATGGAGGCATGACGTCCCAAGAGCCCCTACCTGGCCCAGTTGCTGGAAAAAGAGGAGGTGTGTGTTCACATAATGGGGTCAAGCTTGGAGTGGGTTATTGGCGCTGCAGAGAGCTGGCTTGGAGTGCAGCCTGGGGGACATGGGGTGGGTGTTTGGTGTTTGGGGAACTCTGGTCAGGAGCCATTATAGTGTGGCTTCTGGCATATGCATTTCCCTCCTCCAAAGTTCCTGCCCTGGGGAGCCTTCCCTGATCTCCGGGCTTGGTTGGGGGTGGGGAAGTACTACAGGGTGGCACAGATTTGTGCAGGTACTCAGAAAGGATTTGTCTGCGTGCTGAGCACCAAGGAGGTCCAGACTGAGGCATCCAGGATGTCTGTCTTTGGAGATCAGAGAGTGTCTAGGTTAGGGGAGACCTCCCAGCAAGCTCATTACAGAGTCACGGAGACAAGTGCAGACAGGTTCTGAGATAGAATTGGGGACTGGGACTCTTGGAGGCCTAGGGAAGAAGAGATGCCTGGAATGGGCCTCGGCAGTTAAGTGGCAATTACCAAGGATAAGGACCTTCCAGAGGACAGCACAGCTTGTGCAGAAGCAGGATGTCCATGGTATGTATATTTGAGGAATGGCGAGGTGTAGAGAGAACGCATCCCTGTGTTCCCTGGCTGGTTCGGGATTGTGCAGACCCAGCCTCCCCATTCACCACTTGCTCACAGGAGTGGGGCAAAAGGTGAGGTGGAAGTGGGCAGAGGCCACTAGGGGCCCTGATTGCCCGCACGCTTCACTGGGGTCATTGAGGCCTCCGCATTCAGCTCTAGCCGCACCCCACCACCTCTCAGGCTCCAGTCATGCTTCTGTGCACTTGAAACCTCAGCCCTTTGTGCAGGTTGCTTGTCTTCCCTACCCACTTTCTCTAGAACTTTTCTCCCCATCCAAATCTCCTAGGTCCTTTGGGACTTCACAGGTGGGCTGTTTATCTCCTCCTGCCTAGCCTTTCAGTCCTGTATAGGGGCACAGCTTAGGAAGGGTCTCCTTGGAGCTCTGTGGGGAAGGGACCTGCAGAGCCATGGGGATGACTGGGACGTGGGATAGTCCCTGTATAGCCACCAAACACTATGTGACTCTGGGAGTCCCCAAACTTCTCAGAGCCTCCATTTCCCCATCTGCAGGATGGGGTGATAAGCTCTGGTCTCATGCTCCAGAGAGAGCCTGACGATGTAAGAATTAGGGCCCGAGTCTAAATCCTGTCCATGGCAATGAGTGTTTGAATGAAGTGAGAACCTAGAGGGAGGGGTTGGTTCAGATGGGTAAGGGGCCTCTGAGAGTCCTAGGGGCTAGTGGTGGACTAGCCTAGTGTCAGAGTAGGACATCCGCTGAAGAGAGGGGAGTCCCCTCTATTCTCAGGGGCCCTCTCTACCCCACCCCACTCTTCCTTTAGCCAAGCTCAAAGCCGGGCCGGCTGATGCCCAAACAAGTAGCCTCTGTTCCCAGGGTGGGGGGAGGGGAGGCAGGCCCTGGGCTCCAGGCCCGCCTGTCCAGCTCTGACCCTGCCGCGCACCCCCCACCCCCCGCCCTTCACTCTGGATCTTAACCCGTGGGAGCCTGAGACAGGCCCTGGGTTGCTTGAGGGCTCATACTTCTTGCCCACCAGCTGTCCCTCCACCCAAATTTAGGCTCCCAAGGGTTCTGTCGCAGCAGAAGGGGATGCTGTAGGCCATGAGCTGGAAGTGAAGAAGGAAGGAGGGAATGGAGGTGGGAGCAGATAATATGGTCATGTACACTCAGAGCCCAGTTAGCCCTGAAGCTTTTTTCACAGATGGGGAGACTGAGGCCAAGGGTCAAAGATCAGACCAGGATCACACACTGAGCCTTGGTGGGGGTCAGGACTGATCAGACTCCTAGTCTGGGCCCTCATGGGGAAAGAAGAGGGAAAGGGAGGGAGCTCTCCTTGATTTGAGTACCTAGAGTACCTATCATGTGCTTGGAGCTGCACATTTGTCCTTTTATTTAACTTCACATTGTTCCATGAGACAGGGATCACCCTCCTGTAGCACAGGGGAAGAGACAGAAAGAGCTGAGTAATCACATCTGCCAGAAAGATGTCAGTAAATAGGCACATAACACTGGCGTGGGCACTTTCATGTATATTAACCACTTTCATCCTCCCGAAACCCTAGAGGTTGTGTACCGCTCTGCAGATAAAAAGACTGAAGCATAGGGAGGATAAGTAATTTGCCTAAAATTATAGCAAATAAGTGGTAGAGGCAGGGTCAGGACCCAGGAGTTTGTTTGCTTCCTTTGGCCTGATTTCCTCTTCCCCTACCCTGACCTTACTCCTTGAGCTCAGTCCAGGGTCCCACTCAGTGAGGGGCTTTCCCTTGGGTGGTGGCCAAGGCTGCTCGAGCACAGTGTGACCCCAGCCAAGCAGG